TCAATACTCACAGACAACGTCGTATTTACTAAAGTATTTACTGGAACACGAAATTGAACATAAAATATTCATTATCAATAAAATCTGTTTCTTTCCCATTTACAAACAATGAGTGGCGTTGGTGGCACGCTCCAAGTGCGAGATGCCCCAGCAGGAACGTGGGTGATTTTTACCGAAGCGAAGCGAAGGTCAAACATTTACGGAAGTGGGCTGGGCCCGAGATCTCCTATCTTATAATAAAGAAATCCAACAAAGAATCTTAAATTTCTGACAAAATGACTTGTAATGTCCTTAGATTCAAACTGAAATATTGATAAGCGGCGTAATACGAGACCGTATAGATCCTACAAAAATACGGTCAACGAAGCTTTTTTTGTTTATGAAAACTAAAGAAGACCGCTTAGTCTCACCAAAAAGTTGAGTATTCCTCAATCGATTGGTCAGAACTGGATTGCAAAAATATAACATAACCATGAAAAGAAATTTCAAACAGGATTATCAGGTACAAACATAACGAAAAATCAGTGGAAAGATCAACAATATCCAAAGCCGAACAAGAAAAAATATTTAACGAATCTAATATATAACATATGTTTATCCGTGCCGCACACAATGATCGAAGGTTTAAAGACTGAGTTTATCCACCTTGATCCTTCTAAGTTGGGATGTAACAGACTTAGGGCCCTCACAAGCAACAAAATTATTTTTTTAAAGATCCCGATTAAGGACTTTATTATTATTTTTTTTTTTTTTTTTTTTGTGAAAGGTTACTTCAGACTTCCAAAAGAAAGCTTTTTCCAAAATCCATGACGTTGCTTTTTAATGACCCTTTTTGAACGATTAAAATATAAAGTTCACTCAAAATGCTAACCTATCTGTTATTATTTTTCACGGACTCTATTGTTTCGATATACTTTTAATTTCTAGAGAAAACAAAATGAACCTATCTCAAATTGTTACAGTAGTTGCTGAATCGCAATAAATTTTATTTGGACTTGATGATGATATGAATATGATTATGGAATCAGACATTTCTACACTTTACCGACAACAAAGTCTCCACTACAGTTTTATTGCATTCTCGATGTTGCCTGTTCCATCAGATCGTGAAACTCCCAGTGTTGAAGAGGTGCACTACCAGTAGAATTAGCATCGTCTCGTCTGGTTCTGAACGTATCACAGAGGCTAACCCACTTGTTATTCATCGCTGCAAAGTCCCTTCTACCATTGATAGCGTCACTGGCATTAAAAGCATCTTCCGTTGCCTTGTTCAAGTTCAGCTTTGCTTGAGGTGAGAGAATAACACCCACGTTTACAACGTAATCGGAAAACAACTCGATCAAAACGTTGGTGCTTGCTGAATCCCATATGACGATGGTAGTGTACTTTTGGAAAGGCATTTGGTTAAATAACATTGGATAGTTAAGCATTGGTAAAGAAAAATGAAGAGGATCACAAACACAACTCTTTTATCAAAAAAAAACAAAACAAAAACATTGGTGAGTTCAGTAGCCCAATTTGGCTGATTTTTCATTTGATAGAAGGATTCTGGGGTCGTTGGATTTTAATCCTTTATTGGGATATTTCGAAAATTTTGGCACTGGAGAAAATTCGATGTTATTGTTAATCGCATATATATATCCATTTAATTTTTTATTCATCTATTTGTCAAAATTGTAACCTTTCACAAAAAAAAATAATAATAAAGTCCTAAATCGGGATCTTTAAAAAAATAATTTTGTTGCTTGTGAGGGCCCTTAGGCTGCTGACATGGAGCAAAATATATTGAGATCTTAAATAGGATATTTACTAATATAGACAAGCTCCTTTTTTTTTTTTTTTTTTTTTTTTAAAAAGTTTTTTTTTTTTGTAGGTTTTTTTTTCCTAAATTAAATTCCGTGAAAAATAATGTTGCTGATATTTTTTTATTATTAATTTACTGCTTAAAAATAAAAAAGTCTGTGGGCATCGAATGTAAAGCCTGCAGAAATAAACGGTCCTAGAATGGACAACTAGAATGCCAAAAAACAAAATATAGTTTTTATTGCCGTTTCCTTACCTTAGTTTTGTCATAACATTTCGAAGACGAGAAAAAATATTTTGCGAGTTTGAGAATTCATTGAGAAGTTAAATTGAAACAGAGAAAACGACAAAAGAAACGGTAAAACAGGAACAAAAGAAAAAAAATCATGCCGATATTTTAGTAAAATCGAATTGCACTAGTTCCAGAATAATATTTCTTTTTATTTTTTATATTTTTTTAAAAAACCGGTTTTGGAAAAAGATTGACTTTCAAAAAAAAAAAAATTAGAAAAAACGGCGCTTGTTCATATTAGTACATCTCCTATTTAAGATCTCAATATATTTTGTTCCATGTGATCAGCCTTATAATCATAGAATTTGAACTTTAGTTTGAAAAGAGCGCAGTATTTAAAGAAAAGTATTCTTGGGTCAAAAATAGAAGAAGAAAGATTTGGATTATATGATGGATTTAAAATCAGTGGAAAAGAGAGCATTTTGCATGAATATATGAAGTGCTCTTTTGCTGTTGCAAATCATGTACTAACATCGCTTTGAGATCCGAAAACAAAAAGTAAAATTTCGGCTGTACAGGTTAATCTTAGTATTTAATCCGTTATAAATATGCGAGGTAAGCCCTCAAAAGCGGTAGTTTCCCAAAAGCAACTAAGACCTAATCAGGGTATAATCTATTCTATCGTGGATATCATAGATATAATAATAAACTTAATTGTCACTTCACATTAAGAATCTATAATAATATAAACGTTAATCACGAATCACACGTTAATCCGGTTGTTCTCATCGTACCGTTGAAATCTGTACACAAGGTGCAACCCAGTGACCAGTAAATATTTATCCTGCAAAAAGTATTGCAATCGCATTGCCCTGAACAATGGAATATTAACAGATCCTGAGCTCAAATATGACTCTTGTCATTTAATGTTCGAATTGTTGATCCCTCTGACTAATTTTTATATACTCAGTATGGAAGGGCTAAATTTAAAGATGTTGATTATTTATTATCACCAGACTATTACATCTTGATCCAAAGAGGCGCTAAATATTCTCCATAGAACAATCCCAGTTTTTTAAATAAATGTTCATAGTTTTTTCTCACAGACCATTTTACTTTTTATAATTCATTTATTTTTTCCTTCGTAATAAAGTGGTACAGAAGCTCCGACTGTATCAATTTAGGGGCCCTCACAAGCAACACATTTATTTTTTTAAAGATCCCGATTTAGGACTTTATTATTATTTTTTTTTTTATTTTTTTTGTGAAAGGTTACAATTTTGACAAATAGATGAATAAAAAATTAAATGGATATATATAGGCGATTAACAATAACATCGAATTTTCCCAAGTGCCAAAATTTTCGAATTATCCCAATAAAGGATTAAAATCCAACGACCCCAGAATCCTTCTATCAGTTGAATAATCAGCCAAATTGGGCTAATGAACGCACCAATGTTTTTTTTTTTTTTTTGATAAAAGAGTTGTGTTTGTGATCCTCTTCATTTTTTTTTACCAATTCTTAACTATCCAATTTTATTTAACAGAATGCCTTTCCAAAAGTACGCTACCATCGTCATATGGGATTAAGCAAGCACCAACGTTTTGATCCAGTTGTTTTCCGATTACGTTGTAAACGTGGGTGTTATTCGTTCACCTCAGGCAAAGCAGAATTTGAACAAGGCAACGGAAGATGCTTTTAATGCCAGTGACGCTATCAACGGTAGAAGGGACTTTGCAGCGATGAACAACAGGTGGATTCGCCTCTGTGATATGTTCAGAACCAGACGAGGCGATGCTAATTCTACTGGTAGTGCACCTCTTCAACACTGGCAGTTTCACGATCTGATGGAACAGGCAAAATCTTGAATGCAATAAAACTGTAGTCGAGACTTTGTTGTCGGTAAAGTGTAGAAATGTCTGATTCTATAATCAAATTTATATCATCATCAAGTCCAAATAAAATTTATTGCGATTCAGCAACTACTGTAACAATTTGAGATAGGTTCATTTTGTTTCCTCTAGAAATAAAAAGTATATCGAAACAATAGAGTCCTTGAAAAATAATAACAGATAGGTTAGCATTTTGGGTGAACTTTATATTTTAATCGTTCAAAAAGGGTCATTAAAAAGCAACGTCATGGATTTTGGAAAATGATTTCTTTTGGAAGTCTAAAGTATCCTTTCACAATAAAAAAAAAAAATAATAATAAAGTCCTTAATCGGGATCTTTAAAAAAATAATTTTGTTGCTTGTGAGGGCCCTAGGTTTACTTTAATTTTTTTCTTCATGAAAAATAGGTTTCAGGATTATGAAAAGAACAGATAGTACTATTACAGACAACTACATTAGCTCTCTTGCAAGTATTTGGTTGTAAACGAACATTATGACGGATTTACGATTCATTCCATTTTTGTAGATAATCAACATTTTCAGACAAATAAGGATAGAAGGACGAATATTGTTCCCAGGTATTACTGATGCATTATTCGATAATCAACATACCAGAATTAAATCCAATTGGACAATTTGGCTGGCTGTCATGGTAAGCTTAAGGGATGACAGCTTTTAATTGTGCAACAGAAAATAATGTACCTGCAACCGATTCCTCCAGAGTAACCTAACACGATTTCAAAGGGTTACTCTCGTTAATTTCAGCGATTATAATTAAAGTAACCTTTTTAATGCGTTTAAAATTTCTTACACTTAACGTACTATCGATCTCAACCAGTATATTACTAATTTGTAAACCATGTATTTATATATCAGAATCAAATCGAATAATTCGTTTATTTTCAAAGTTTCGAGTAACTTTTTTTTTCAAGCAGGCCATTTTTTTAACAAAGGGCACGAACAACTTTTGGGAAATGGTATAAGTGGAATATAGAACCAAAAAATATAAGTATCTCTGGATTAGTTGAAAGCCTGAAAAAAAATAATTCCTGATAGTTCATTTTAAGCAGATTCATATTTCATAGTCCTTAAGAATTACATTGCACAATGTCCAATGGGAAGCTTTGAGAGAAATAAACATAAGCGCATGCTAAATGGAAGTATTGCCATGTTGTCCCGAATTATAATAGCAGAAGCGTACCAACGACCAATTCAAAAAAATCATTACTCTACTTTGATGATATTGTTAATTATTGCCTAATGTCGGCATCTTTGAGGAGTTGTTTAAACGTCATTAACGATCAGTTAAAAAATCAAATTTTACAAAATGGCTAAAAATAACGAAGCCAACTAAGACCTATGTTGCGTCAGTATTTCGAAAGATCACATCAAATTAATCAAATCAATTGAAAAAAAAGGAACCAGAAATCATACTCTTAATTGAATTATGAAAAAAACGCTTTCCTTTCAACGATGTTTGGAATGCTCAAGAAGAGGCTCCGAGGATCAACAGATTTTACTCTGACAACTTATAATCAGTGTGTAGGACGTCCAGTTAAAACAAACACTTGATAATAATACTAAAACTTTCTATGGGACACTTTAAATACGAAATTAAGTTAAATTTTTATTTTTTTGGTTGGGCGATCCACCTCGGATGAGGAGATGGAAACAGAAAAGCGTTTTCGCTTTTCTGTTTCCTTCACCCGAGGGGAAGCCGCAACAAGAAAAGACAAAGGAGGGACAGGAATACACACAGGTGCCGGAGGAGCACGAGGGCTAACACCCAAAGGGCGAAACCGGCGCGCACGAGAAGGACGCGGCCGTGCCACACAAAGGCGGACACGACGACAAACAACAGGGGGAGAAAACAATTTTTGTTTTTTGACGGTTTTCTCTTGCTCCGAAGAGCGAAGAGAAACCGAAAAGAGCTTTCTTTTTCTCGACGAAACGAGAAGGGCAGAAGAAAAGAAGGCACTAATAAAGAAGAGCAAAAAGAGAATACAATGGTTTTTTTTAGTTAATTTGTAAAATGACAACATTAGACATTGTTAATGTCTCGAAATGACTAGAGTACGGAATACTTACGGATAAAAAGCCATAGTTTGCATCATTTTTAAGAATAACTATGAAGACAGGAAAGAAAAAAAATAAAAATGTCCTTCCCGATTCCTACAATTTAACCCCCACCGTGAAAACTGATGACGACATTTTTTCGGTATGATATTTAATAGAATACATAAGCCACAATCTCAGCAGCGGACTCGGTAGTGGAAACCCGTAACACGGTGGATAAAATTCACAATTATCGTAATGTAGTTTTTTAATTATTTATTTTTTCTTTTACAAGCATTGCCATTTAACAGATTGCCAATTAACACATCAGATTATATAAAATTGTAGTCACTACATTAGATGAATCGTTGAAGAGTCTTTAATTACAAGGAACCTTGTCTGCGCAAAACAGTGAATGATACGACTAACTTACGAATCACCTAAAGAACCAGGAGGACGATGATCAACCTTGTCAGTATACTTAATGTAAGGCCAAACAACCTTGTCATTACTAGCGGAATCGGAATACCGTACAAGCCTAAGGACTTGAAGAATGTCTGTAATGGAATTAACAGCGTCCTTCTTGTATCTGTCACACCTCGAATTCGGAGAAACTGTCAAAACATTGAGAGCGTCGAACTGCTGATGCTTCATCACCTTCTTCCTTGTGTTTGAAGTAGTAGTGAACCACACCGACATACCAAAGGGAATTAGATCTAAATTTTATGCTGTAAGTATCAATAACGTTTGTCAAACTTCTTTTTCTCACCTGTGACCAGTAATTTTGGAAGCCGTAAATAGGTGATATAATTTGGCCTTGTCGTCAAGCTTTTGAATGTTTTGTCCATAATTAAGGCAAATACAAAATAATCGTTCTAAACTATCAGGAGCTGCCGGGGTAAGAGCAGAACAGAATGATTATTAAGTTGAGGACAGGACAAAAAGAAATTATATATCTATTAGTATTAATATATATACAAAAGGAATAAAGGTAGAAAAAATTTATTCAAAGAAGCAGGAAAGTAGCCAAGTTCTTGAATACCGAAATAAGATTAAATAAATATGCTGTTATTTATATTAATTGGCAGATCGGGAAAACAAGGGTTCGGGGATCCGATTTACAAAGACGGTTTATTAGTCATGATGAGTTTAGGTCATCATTGGGGGAGTGGGCATAGATAGAGATAATTTCGAGGATAGATACAGATAATAACATAGGCTGTGATCATTAATGTTTCAAGCGATTTATAATGCAGAGGTACAAAGGGAACGGATATTAAATGGGTTTTACAAGGACAAGTTATAATGGAGATACATTATTTGGAAAAGAGATGTTAAACAGGATTCAATAGTGATATTGGACAGTGACGTGTGTGACAGGAGACAGAGAACATGGAACAGGTGAAACAGGGAAAATCGGCTAGTTGGGTTTCAATAATGGTCTGAGACATTTTGCATGATTATATGCAACTGAATCGTAGGTTGTTCATAACACAAGCACGACTTGCAATTACAATGCATGACGAGATCAATTGTTCGATTTCATCCCTAATCTTATGATCATACTAATTAATGAATGCATCAATAAGCTTCGATATCGGGACAAAGAAGCATATTTCCTCCGTATCCCATCCACGAAAAGACTGAGGTACAAATGGACAACAGATTGGAGCACCAGAAGAATTGTGAACGGTAACCTTCTGGATGATCTGTGTATCCCGGGAATCGATTGGACTGCAGAGACCTAACCGCCATTTCATTGTAATTAGCCTAGTGACGAAGGACGTTCAAAGAATTTGGCCCTATCAGATGCGTGGAATTGGTCAATACGGCGGATGCATAATGTAATTGTTATTATCTGTGCACACTCGTGAATTGATACGCTTTGCAGCAATTTCTTGATTCAAAAACGTATCCCAACAACTACAACATCCAAATATTTGCAGTAAACCCTAATTATTAAGAGCATCCTCAGCGGTTCACTAAAAGTTTCACTGAATAAATGGGTCATTTTCCGGTCGGATTAAAAATGTAGTCCTTTTTTTAATGAGTCCGCAGCGGTCAAAAAATAATTACATTGATTTTTTTCTTTAACTTTTGTAAACATGAATAAGCCTGACATGATGGCGCAATTCCTTGAGGATGAAGAAAAGCAAAGACAATTGGAATTAGATCGTAATAAAAAAATTTTATTGCAAGCATTTAAAAAGAGAAAGACAGTACTGGTTGTCAAAGAGAAAAAGAGATATATTGATCGGGACAGAGAAGGGGAGCACGAAAGACACTTTAAGCAATACTTCGCCGAGAATCCTACCTATCCAGACACTTATTTTCGTCGTCGTTTTAAATGGATAAGGAATTGGTTTTGAGAATACTTGGTGATTTGGAAAAGAAGGATAACTATTTTAAGCAGAAGAATGATGCAACTCGGAGATCAAGCATTTCAGGTCTTCTTAAAATGGCTATATATGTTCGCCAACTTGCTTACGGTGTTCCACCAGATATGTTGGATGATCAATATGGAATGGCCGAGTCCACCGATAGAAATGCCTTGCGCCATTTTTGCAAGGCCATTATTCGATTGTACGGGGAGGAATAGCTTCGATCACCTACGAATGAAGATGTAAAACGAATCCTGAAAGAAAATTAAGAGAGAGGATTTCCTGGTATGCTAGGCTCTTTGGACTGCATGCATTGGGAGTGGAAAAACTGTCCCACTGGCTGGCATGGGATGTACAAGGGCAAAGAGAAGGTCCCTACGACCATCCTTGAAGCTGTCGCTTCCAAGGACCGCTGGATTGGCATGCCTTATTTGGTTTTCTTGGGTCTTTGAATGACATCAACGTCCTTGTCCGCTCTTACGTATTCCAAGATGTAGCTAACGGTCAAGGACCTCATGTCAATTTTAGTATAAATGGCCATCAATACAATATGGGGTATTACCTCACTGATGGTATTTACCCTCAATATGCTGCGTTTGTCAAAGGGCATAGAAATCCATCCAACGAAAAAGAATCGGTTCGTATCAACAGCAACTATTATTAATGCACATTTTAATTTTTTTTTTGACAGAAATTTACCGGTAATGTCGGTAACGTTCGAAAGGATGTTGAGTGTGCATTTGGTATACTTCATCAACGTTTTAATATCGTCGCTACACCAGCAATGGGTTGGGATAAAGACGATATCCAAGAAATCATGATGGCTTGTATCATTTTGCACAATATGATCATTGAATTTCAAAGGGACAAAGAAGAAGAATTGGAAAGTATCAGCAATTTGAGAACTGACCCTTTCTCGTACAGTCCCCTTAGAGAAGTAGATGGGGACTCCCTGAGCAGTTTTTGGAAAAATGGAGGAGCACTATGGATCGTCCTATGCATCTTCAACATCAAAAGGACCTTGTTGACCATCAATGGATGATGCTAGGAGAATCTTTAATAAAAATAAACATTTATTAAATCAAGTCATATTCAGGATTACTCTTTTTCATAATCGCGATCTGATGTTGCTGTACCCATGATCGATGTTGGGGGTCCGTGATATTTGATGGATCAGTTGTCATCAACTTCCATCCTCTTTCCTTTTCGAACTCAAGTCTGAGGCTTTCAGCTCGCTTTTCTGCGCCTCATCGGACTTCTTCTGCATTGCCGTCAATTCATCCATCAAGCATTTGAATTCGTCTTGATTACCGGCAGAAACTGAAGAAGCGACCTTAGAGACTTTTGATCTTTTTCTTCCCTCAGGACGCTCGCTGCTGCTGCTGCGGCTGGAGTTCTCCAAGGATGACTTATTGATTCGCTTTGTGGGTTCAGGATTCCACTTGTCAAAAGCACTCAAATATTCATAGCACTCCATGAAAACAAATGTTTCATTGCGGCGTGCTTGTCTATAAAGTTTACTTGCGAATGATACTTTAAATTTTGCGCTTAATTACCATAATTAGATACATGTTTTGTTATATTGCACTCACGTCGTAAGCATAGTTTGAACCACTGGCTTTATTGGTAGTGCTTCGCATATATCCAGAGAATTTCAATGTCTTAGGTTGAATGTGATTCAGCCATCTAGTTTTGATACTGTCGGGTGTTCTATGACATACAAAGTCATCCTCACTTAATGATTCATTGAAGTGTTGGCCGATATCATCCCAAAACACGTTGCCCTTTTTTTCTGTACCAGAAATTGGATCAATGCAATAGGCGATATATGATCGACAGATCTGCAGGTCCTCGGCCTTAGAGAAATTTTTCTGGACCTCTTTAAAAGGTGCTACCGAAGGACGCAAATCATTCTGAATAGCTTGGGCATCTCCGGTATTCTTGTCATTTTGGACGTTTTCATGATGACCATCATCTTGAATCTCGTTCTCCATTGCAATTGGAGAGGGGCTACGAATGGAGATCGCAGTTTGGGTGTTCATTTGATCTGAAAAGTTTCGGAAAAGAAACGAAAAGAAAAGAACGAAAAATTAATTTTTATTTTTGATTCATTATTTTAAACCCAAATTGTATGAGTAACACGTAAATGGTACTATACCAAATTTAACAAAACCTGCTATACATATTTATGTTTTGTAGAAAGAAATTTTTTGATTACGTTAATAATTAGTATATGAGTCAGGACGAATGGTCGATCCATGACATTTATCTTTCATACTTTCTGCGAGCTTCCACACACTTAACCTCCAAAAAATTATTCCTGATCAGATACATTGTCTAATTCATTAGGATTCTGAAACTTGGCTCTTTTTTCCACAATTCTTTGTCCTATGAAAAGCGGAATGTTATCTATAAAAGAAAACATTTATTAAACCTTCGTTGAAATTTCTCATAATTTATAGGTATATAGTATTTAAAATTCGTTAAGATACTTATAAACATTTCTAAAAATCTACGTCTTAACCTCATAAGACCACTCCGACGAGAGTTTTATTCCTTTAATAATCCTACAACGTCTTTCGAAATGTTACAATTGCAATTCCGCGTCTAGTATAAGTTCGACGTTGGGACTGAGGACAAACTTAGATTAAATTAATAAGTACCGTGTGTTTGTCAAT